AGCTCCATCACTTTCCTCTATATCTGAGTTCTGATGCGGGTTCTTTGTTTCGGGATAGGCAAACGTGATTGAGTCTGAGGGCCCATTCGAACTGAAAACTTTTTCGTGAAGACGGGCATATGTTCGGATCAAATTGGGATGTAATGCAAGCAATAGTTTTCCTGGCATCCAAGCATTATGCCACTGTGACTGATCAACATACTTGACAAAATACTCACGCCTTGTGAGGGCAAAATCGTTACTACCACGTTTGCGGGAATCGCGCTTAGCGGCGTTGGGATCCTTTATGACCGTATTTTCCGAGTCATTCTCGTCAGTTCCCTGATCTACTTCTTTATTTTGATTAGAAGCAGGACGGTCGCTTTCTAGACTCTCCTTAACCTTCGAAAAAGATCCAGAGCGACCTTAAGGCGGGTGAAGGTTAGTTGGTGAAGAAAGGTCACTTGACATTTGAAAAAAATGAGACAAACCTATTGATAAGGCACTCTTCAGCGGCCTACTAGCCAGAATGGCTTGGACAGAAACCTATTGAATATAGGTTATGTTAAAATAAACAAATTAAAACACGGGAAACCAAGTTAAACAAATTTTCATTACAGAAAACATACCCAAGGATCTACATGGTTTCTGGGATTGTAGTTATCTAGGAAAGTAAAACCGTTATCTTCTTTTATAGCCTTATCAAGCTCTTCATCGTTCACAATTCCCGATTGTTCCGGACAGCGTCGACTGCGGATACTGGATCTTACGACTGATTCATCGTTGGGAATTTTATTAGAGTTTTCATTGCATAAGTATGAGCGATCCTCTAAATTGTCAAGATTTGAATATTTGCCAGATTCCGGTTCAGAATCAGAAGATTGAGTTCCAGATTCAGCCACACCTGGGAGATACATTAGCAAGGGTAGTAGAAAACGAGAAAACGGGGTATGGGAGACATCCGAACACACCGGGAAATAGAAAAGGGCAGGTGGTTGATAATATCAAAGTAATAACCATATAAATAGATAAAGACGCATAAATGTTTTAATATTAAGAATGCTATATGCGCTATAAAAAAATGTCTTTTTTCAAGGATTGTACGTATTTATTTAATCTATTAATTAACTCATGATCTCAAACGAGCTAGGAATTTCTTTAGAATTAGTTTAGGACATTCCGTTCAATAGGTTTGTTTACAGATTATTAGTCAAAGTAATAACCTTAAAACGACAGATAAACAATTATTTAGAGGGTGTCTGATTTTTACTCTATGAATGTGAACCAAGGTAGATAAATATGCTGCTCTTAGATTCGATTCTAGAAGGCCTTTTGTGCAGATAGGTCCTAATTAATTCATAATTTCTCTTTAAGGTGCATAGCTTATTTATTTGCAGCTCATAAGTTTAGCTTAAGAAGTAAAATACAGTCTTAGTCGAAGAAATTCAGTATTTCCATTTGGTCCTCAGGCCGGCTGCAAGTCCAGGAACTTTTGTTAAAATTTATTTACTATCCTCAGTTCCATCTAATTTAGAACCACATTGCCTCCTTTCTTAAAATTGATGCAGCTGCATCTATCTAATTTAAGGGTAAAAGTAGACTATGCATTGATATTGTTTTCGCTACTTGGTCATATTGGTTGGAATGCCTAGAGGA